AAATAATAGAATGCCGTCAATAATATTATCTAGATGTCTTTATTTCTCATACAGATTCAATAATCTTGAATAGCGTTTTCCTCTAGTATTTTGACGACCCTTCATCTTTTATTTTAATGATAATTTTAATTAAAGAAGAGTAATACTATACGTAATTTATTTAAGGATTTTGAGAGATTTTTTTACATACAGTAAATCTTACATCTAATATTATGAGAACTATATAATATTGAAATCAAATAATGAAAATATTGCACATTTAAGTAATAAGCGCTTAGCTATATTAGCGAAGATATTTTTGTAAGATTGTTATTGTTATTTATATTCAAGCTTACATTAGTACGATTTTTAAACACGATGTTCTAGTATAAAGACTTTCGTTTGCGTATCTTTTTCAATCCGTAACTCATAATTTTACGATTGGATCGCCGGCGTGATTTACTTTATTTAGATAGGTATTACACACCTTATACGTACTGTACGTAGTTCTTTCCCTCAAAATGCCCGTAAATATCTTTGGCAAGCTATCTCAAGATTTTACCGATCTTTTTAATGACACGAAATATTGTGATATAATAATTGAAGTTGGTGCAGATCAAGATCAAAAGTCCTTTACCGCACATTCTGTTATATTACATTATCGTTCGTCATACTTTCGCACTGAATTGTCTACGTCTAAAAATGATTGTGGAAAGAAGACGATTTCTCTGCCAAATATTTCGCCAGTAATTTTTGAAAATATCCTTGGGTAAATTATTAAATATATTTCAACGGACTATAAAAAATGGTTAATATGACCGATCATTTTATTTTATTTTAGATATATTTACAGTGGAACTTTTATTCCGGAAGAGGCTGAAACTAGAGTAATTTTTGACACATTGGTTGCATCAGAAAATTTTAAACTTAAAGAATTTTCAAAGGAACTAGAAATTTATCTCATCGAAAATAAGGCTTCGTGGATACGCACGCACTTTTCTTTCATTCATGATACAATATTCGAGAATGATTATTTTGACAACTTAAAAAATTTTTGCAATGATATAATTACAAAGCACCCGACTCTTATTTTCAATGCAGAAGACTTTGTCTCCCTTCGAGAATCAGCATTAATTTCTCTCATCAAGAGAAATGATCTACAAATGGAAGAGATTAAAATTTGGGAAAAGGTTATTCAATGGGGAATCGCAAAGAATCCTACGCTGCCATCAGATGTTAAAGATTGGTCGAATAAAAATTATATG